GTGGGTGAGGGGCTGAGGGCCATTTTCAGGCTGGCGGGCGACTGAAGCTTCCAGCCTCTCCTTTTTTTCTTTCTTTTTTTTTTTAAATTCCTGGATTTATTTACTTTCTATAACTGATACTTCGTTGCTGTCACTGGAGCTGAGAGCCGGCTCCAGCTCTGAGGCCACAGCCTGCTGAAAGCAGGTATCTGGGGTTTGTTTAGCTTCTATAATGGAAACTTTGTTGCTTTTGGAGCTTAGAGCCAGGCCGCAGCAGGCAGGGAACTTTGGCTTCCTCCATCACTGGAGCAAGCAAGCAAGCCTCCTGCTCGCTTCAGCTGCGTGGCTGCCTGCCGCCATCTGGTTGGCAGTTAATTTGCATATCACCCTGATTAGCCAATGGGAAGCATAGCGAAGGTACGGTCAATTACCCTTTTTGTCTTTTATTAGATAGGATGACTACATGAGAACTGTTTTAACAATATGCAATAGCCTTCCTTTGGGTCAAGTTTGAACAGCCTTTCAGTTCTACAATGGAAATTATCCAGGATATTTGAGAAATAATTTGTTTCTATTAGAGGCTAAAAATTAATATATAATGCTTTACTACCAGATGATTTAAAAATATACTTCACAAGGGATCAGCATGAAACATGTTATTCTTTTGAAATGCAGTTAAGTCTATTTTACAAAGAGAAAATTTTTATATGTCAAGGTTTTCTAGAGCTAAACATCAGAGAACAAAAAAACTTTTCTGGTAAAAATATATATATAAATAAAGCTATTGGTTTTATATTTATCCCGTTTAAAGCAGGAAAATGATCACTTCTTTAGATAATTTTGCCTTGTAGTTTCCAGATTCTGACATGAAGCTGGAAAATCCCGGAGTGATTAAAACTTATATTTTGGTTCTGGGTACTACTGGGAAGATAATGAGAAGACACACTTCTGCAATGAGCTGAACCATCTTTATTTACTAAAATAGCATTTATATTATAGATGCAATAAAAGTGAAAGTATTCTAGAAAAAGTATTTTATGTTCTCATTGATCCTTCAGATGAATGCAGCTGCAAGGATGAACGGTCTCAAGAAGATCAAGCTTCACGTGCTGGTATTTGGAATCTGATAAATGCAGCTTATTGCGCCAATCCCTTATGAAGTGAACAGCTTGAGTGGCTCAAAACTGGGAGGTGCAAATCACTCCCATATACTAGGTAAGAAGTCTTAAGAGGAGATTTATTTTTATGTAGGACATAAATCAGGGCTTAATAGGCTAAGTAGACAATATTTAACAAGTTGAATCAAAAAGTTAAAGATTATGTCACTACCATTATCAGTAGAACAAGCCAAAAGAGAAGCCTATTTTGAGGTAGTTCACTGGGTTTTGTAAATATCCATTTAATCTTGGTTATAGTCCCCTCTCCTTAGCCATCATATAGGTAAATATTTCCATAGCTTGCTTTGTGTCATCACAGGTTCATCTTGTTCTTGACATACTCATTAGAGATAACTGTCAGAGGCAAAAAAAAAAAAAAAAAAAAAAAAAAAAAAAAAGTGGTAGATCCACAGAATCAAGAGTTCCTATTAAACCTGATGAGTTCTCTTTGTGCAGTTAAATAATTCTTATTAGGCTAAAATAGCAGATGATTTTCCTTTTAATTTTTACTCAGTTTTACTGTAATTTGTATCCTATAGGCCTATCCCCAAAAGGCAATTTTTAGATTCATCAAATCATCAGACATTAGTGTTGGTGGGGCATTACAGGTCAGTGCAATGACTTTATTTGACAGGTGGGGGAAATTGAGTTCCGGAGAAGTGAGTATTCTATTCATGGCCATAAGTAAGTTGAAGGCAGAGCTCAGGAAAGCTCTGAGCCTTTGAACTCCCAGAACAGCAAAGGTCTAATGTTTCCCTATAACATCACATAGCTTGCGAATCACATGTTCACTTTTTACAGTTTAAAAAAATTTCACTACAATGTGATATGATTATGACATATACTCAGAGAGAGAGAGAGTTTAATCTTAGCTGAGATGTTGGTATTCTAGACATTCAGAAACTCACTTATCTTAGAACAGTTGGTTTGAACTATTTGCTCATGATTCCAAGGTCACTGGTTTGCTACCTGCGACCTTTCAATTCCCAGTGTTCCTTGACCTCAGATCATCCCTACCCATCGTTACATTGGATGCCACTATCCACCACGGGAACCAGGAGGAAGGGAGCTAACAGATTAGCAAAAAACTAATCTCAGTTGCCAAACTACTACATGTTTCTTTTTTTTAAAAATATATTTTATTGATTTTTTTACAGAAAGGAAGGGAGAGGGATAGTTAGAAACATCAATGAGAGAGAAACATCGATCAGCTGCCTCCTGCACACTCCCTGCTGGGGATATGCCCGCAACCAAGGCACACGCCCTTGACCAGAATCGAACCTGGGACCCTTGAGTCCGCAGGCCGATGCTCTATCCAGTGAGCCAAACCGGTTTGGGCTACATGTTTCTTTTGATGAATTAGGGCTACTGTCTTAATGTATCTAGGCCAAAAAGACTCCTGGGATAAGGTCTGTGCTGATCCTAATATAGGGTCTAAAATAGAAAGTAGTGTCTTGCATGTAAGATAAACACAAATTGTAGTAAATGAACAAGAAGCCATCTTACTACCATACCCACCCCAACATTTTCCCTAAAAAGACCATAATTATTATTAATACTAACAAAACTGAAATCTAGACCATTAAGCAAACATTTCAGAAGATGCTCTCTTAGTGTCTGCTAATTGAGAAAGTAAAAAGCCCCTTTTTTCTTTGCAACATGTTTTTCGGAAAACTATTCCCATGATGGTAATCCAAATACATGAGCAGATATTCTGAGATGCATTTGGGTGTTTCTTAGTGGATTTAGTTTTGACTTATTGAGAAGGCATGTCATATCACTCCCCTGGAAGACACCACTTGTGACTTTCTTTTTTCCACCTGACTTGGAGCTTGCCTAGTACAAAAAGCCTTTTCCTAGGGCCATTTGTTGAAAACAGTAAGAATCAATTGATTACCTTTGTAACTGACTGAGGTGGTGGATAATAGTTGAGGTAAACAACAAGCTAACCAAAAATATTAAAAGGAAAAGCTGGGGAATGAGATATTCATAGAGGCTTTGAAAAGCTCTAGATATTCTTGGAAATATAGGACATGCACATTCATAAGACTATTCAAAGATGGGGAACAAATGGAGCTATACAATTGTAACATTTTTGTACAATATTAAAAAGGCCAAGATGTATTTCAAAACCCTTCACTGACTTGGTTACATTGCTTTTGAACCACGGGAGACCAAATTCCTGGACAGCTCTGGAGACTCCAAATAAGCTAGAGGAGACCCAAGCTTCCTGATGGGTTTCGGTCTAGCTGCTGTTATTAGAGTTCACACAGTGAACACATCGTTC